TCTAATTTTTATTATATTCATAAATGCTTAATATTCAATAATTCTTAAAGGCTAAAGGCCTTATATCTTAAGCCAATTTACGTTTGTTTTAGTCACTAAGTTTATCTGTTTCTAAGAATTTTTTTTTATTGATACATTGTTATAATTATGTCTATCAGGCTACAGACTTTTTGAAAATTTGACCCTGTCTAGTTCAAGCTATTTTAAAGTTGAATAGGCGGACAGCGGACTATCATTTAAAAAAAAATAGTCCAGACAATATAGGCTAGCCTAATCTATTACTTATTAATATTTTTTGTATTTTTTTAAAAAAACTAAATAAAAAAAAAAGAATATCCATTAACTAGTTTTTTTTTCTCATAAAAGTAAAACCTGTAATTTGTTAAAATATGAAAAAAAAAATTGAATTAAAAAATTATTAGTTTATAGTTTAAAGCTTTACTTTTTTAAGATTGAGTTTAAAAAAAATACAGAAAAAAAAAAAATATAAATAAATAATATATATGCGCATATATATTTATTATTATGATTTTTATAATAGTATTTTAGTGGATTTTTCAGTTGGTTAGTTAGAATTATTACTTTATTTAGTAATAAGTAATTTTCTGTAAAACGCCTCCTTAAAGTTTAATTTTAATAATTTTCATAGTGAAGTATAATGGTAATTATGGTATGGAATTAATTCTTATATACATAAAAATAAACTACTATTATTAAAATATTTTCTGATATTGCATTTACTGAGAGTGAAATATTATTTTACAATGAAAAAGTAAATATTATATATATTACATTTTATACTGAAAAATAATGATGATTACATATTATATATGTATAAGTAATGAATATAGATATTTTTATAATAATATAAATTATATTATCATATAATAGATAATTAAATATATATTAGTATTAAAATAATAATAATTGAATTAGAAAAAATAGATTAAAAAAAAAAGTTTGATATTTAAGAATACTAAAAAAATGTCATTATTTAATTTGAAACGATTTAGAGAAAATTTATCTTTTTTATAATATTTCTATATAAGATATTTTAAATTTATTTTAATTAAAATATATTTTTATTGATTAAAATGATTAAAATATAATTATTTATTTTTAAAAAAATAAATTATATAAGAAAAATTTTTATTTAATAAGTAAAGAAAAAATAAATAAATATTAATTTATTATTATTAATATTATTTTCTTAATTTTATTTTTATATATATTATAAATTAAAATTATTAAAAAAATAAAGGAAAATTAATTTATTTAATATGATATAATTTACATATAAATTTTATAATACAATGAAATATTTTTGACAGTATTTTTTTAAAATTATTGTTTTTTAAGAATAAATTTTATTTAATATATTATTAAAATAAATATTAAAACTATATTATTTTAATATAAAAAATATTGATTTTACAATGGAAATCTCTAATTTTCTAAATAATTAACAATTCTTAGAATATTTGAACAAATTAATAGATAAAGTATATCAAATTTATAAAATTTTTTAGAAAACATATTATATATGTAGAAATTAGAATATAAAATAAATTAAATAAATACGAAAGAAGATTTTAATCAAGAAAATTAAGTTAAAAAAAAATGTATTTATAAATTTATTTTTAATATATACAAAAGAAAAATATTTTTAAAGAATAACAAAATTTTATTGATTAAGAAAATTGCAATTTAATCAACATATACTAAAATAATATAAAAATAAAAAGTTCTGATAATATAAAAGAAAAAATTTAAGAAGAATAATAAGAAGAAACTGAATAAAAACAAAAAAGTAATCTTGATTTATAAGAAGATAAAAAAATATAAGAGCAAATAAATAAATATAGTTTAAATAAATACTAAATAATTGATTAAATTACAGAAACCCTAGTAAGCATTTCATAAATAAATAATGACGAAAGTATAAAATAAGTATTAGCAGAAATAGATAATAGACTAAATAAATGCGAAACATTTTGTTTTTAAAAATATGTTTAAATGAATAATTCTAGTTAATTAAATAATGATAATATAGATTCAATAACTAAAAACTTTTAAACTTTGCATAGTTAAATTAAAAAAATTGACGAATTTTTAAATTTGATGCAAGAAGAATAGTTAATTTTATTTATTTTTTTTAAATAATAAAAAAAAAGGTTACTATTAAAATTATAAATTGATGATACAAATAAAAAATTTTAAATTAAAGGCAATACTTAATTAACAAATATTAATAATATAAATGATGCAAATAACAATGGAAATAATATTAAAGAATAAAATATTTAGATTTCTGATAATATCATTTAATTTGTACAAAAAATAAGATCAGATTTAGATGTAACTTTATAAATATAGAAAATATATAAATTATATATATTTATATTATAAATATAAGTATTTTAGTGACTAAATAAAAAACTTAGAATTAAAAATAATTAAAGTTTAACATGATAACTATAAATCAGAAGAAGAATATGATTAAAAACTTAAAGTTTTTGATGGTTAATATATTTTTTTTTAATTTGTTAAATATATATTTTTTAGAAAAAATGATAAATGTTTGGTAAAGTTTAGCCTTTATGACAGAAATTATAGAAAATAAGAAAACAAAAAAAAAGGTATTTTTTTTTGAGTTAATTTGCAATTAAGTAATTAAAAAAATATTTTATCGAAAAAAAATCATATATAGATTTTAGTTTTTTTTTTTTATATATTTTAAAATAAAATTAATTTTTTCTTAAATAAATAATTTAATAACATTAAATTATATTTAATAAATATTATATTAAATATGTTTAAAAATAATTTTTATGATATTAATTAATTTTATTATTATCATTTTAAGTAGTTTATAAATTATGTATTTATATATTATATTTTTATATGTATTTTTTTTTTCATTTAATTCATGTCAATAATAGCTAAAAGATCAGCTTAATTATTACTATAATTACATAATTTAATCCTTATTTATTAATTATTAATAAACTGAGATAAAAATATTATTTAAAAATCTATCACTATTAACATTTTATATTAATATTATCCTCAAAATTTTTTTGCAATGTATAAAAATTTTTTATGTAATTTCATTTTTTTCATCTAAAAAATATATTTCTCATATAATCGAATATTTTATCATATTAATAGTTGTATATATATAATTTTTTTTAATAAATTCTGTCTTTTTTATGTTTATTTCTTTTATTATTTAAATATAATTGAAGGGGCTTTTTATATAAAGATTATATTGATTTTTTAATTTTTTTTCTTAATATTTTATATTTCTAAAAGTTTAGATTACTATTTTTTTAGACATTTTTTATAGTATTTTTAACTTAATGATTTCCTATTATTTTATTTAGTTTATTTTAGCATAATTTTTTTAATATAATAATTAAAAATTTATGCTTAAAATTAAAAATAAAAATAATTTAGTTTTTTTGATTATATAGCTTTTCAAATAATTCACTTAAGACTAAAGAACCATTGAAAAAGCTATTAATTAGTTTAAATAGAATCATCAAAATTTATTTTATGCATCATTAGAGTAAAATTAATTAAATTTTTTTAAATACTTTCAATTTTTTATATTCTAAGATTATTATTTTTTTCATTTTATTATTATTTTTTGATTCTTATTTATTCAATAATTCATTTTTGTATTTATTTTAGTTAATTTAGTTTTTCTTATTGATTTTAAACTATTGTCTTAATTAATTGATATTCTTTTTTCTATTAACTATCCAATTAGTAATCATAATAATTTTTTACTTTTTTACATATTACATATTTCACTAGAATTTTATTTGTTTGAATAAAAATGATTTAAAAGTCTATTATTAAATTAGATTTTAATTATTGGTATATAACTATTTGATTCAAAATAATTCTATAAGAATAATTTTTTTACTAATATAAATTACTTTTTGTATACTAATAATTTATTTTATTTTGTTTTGATATATATATATATATCTCTCTATTTATTCTTTAGAGAGTACTAACGAATATAATAAGTTTATTTTTATCGAAATTATTAAAAATCATGTTTTCTTTGGCTATTTTTATTACATTAATAATATATTTATTATTACAATTCTTAGTTTGATTATTCGCTTTTAAATTTTCTAAATTAATTTTTATACTAATAAAAATAAAATTTTAACTTAATGACTATTTTTTTAATATTTAATTTTCTTATATTTTAATTCATCTTATTAATTTTGAATTATTTATTTATATATTCATTAAAAATATTTCTCTTTAGCTATCAATAAATTTCATATAAAAGGAGCATGTATAATATATTTAAATTGAAAAAAAGACTACCTTTATCTTAAGTTTAAGCGAAACAATCAAGGCATATTTTAAATACATCTAAATAATTTCCTTTGTATATAAGATTACGTGTAAATTAGGGATATGTCTACATTATTGATACAAATGATTACTGTTTAATTTATATTTTTTATATTTTATTGATTTGTTTTGATTATTGAAAATTATGAAATATTTCTAATTATTTTAATACATTTTATTTTTCTTATTTTATTAACAATTTATAGGTTTGCTTATATTTTTTCTAATATAATTAAGCTCTTTATTAAATAATAAACATAATTCGTGTAATTATGTATATTTTTAGTTTTTATCATTATAAAAATAATATTAGTTAATTTTCTTGTCTATAAAATATATAATAATTTATTTTAACATAATTAAAATAATAAGTTTAAATTATATTTTATTTTAAATTCTAACAAAATATAATTTTTTTATTTTATTATTATAAAAAAAGTTTGTTTTTATAATAATTTTCATGAATTTAAATATATTGAATTTCTTTTTAATGATGATAAATAAATTATGTTCATCTAAAAAACTCAAGTTAGTTTCTAGTAAAAATATTATTTTTTTTAACTAAAAATTATTTCGATTTTTGATATTTATGATGAATAAATATATTTTTTTTTTTTGCAGTTTGAAAAATGTTTAAATACTTATTTCTAAAAAAAGGAATAAAAAAAAAAACATAACTAAAAAATATTATTTTTTTTGCTTTTTAAATTTTTAAATATTAAAAATGCATAAAAAAAAAGAATAGAAAAATCAAAATCAATTCACTTTTTTCCAGTTTTCTTTTCAGTAGGTACGGGAGCCTTTTTTTCAGCAACAGGAGCTTTTTTTTCAGCGACAGGGGCTTTTTTTTCAGCAACAGGGGCTTTTTAAACGGGTGCTTTTTAAGTAGTAGCAGCAGAAGCTTTAGCAGGTACAGGGGCAGTTTTCTTTTAAGCAGCTGTTTATTAGACAGCGGTAGTATTTTTAGCAAGAGGTTACTATTTTTTATTTACAACTGGTTATTTTTAAACAGGAGCATTTTTATTATTTTTATTATCAGCTGCAACAGGAACAGTTTTTTTGGGTTCTTCAATGACCTTTTATGCAGTTGTGTTTCTTTATTTTCTCCATTCAACTAAGAACTTTTCATATTCTTCTCTAGCGGCCTTAGTTTTTTAAGATCTGGATTTTTTTTCTAATAAATAGACTCTTTTTCTTCTAAGTCTTTCAGGAGTAATAAGTCTTTAAATTTTAGTACATTTTACTCTTTCTTTTCCAGTTCCAGATTTGAAAGTTCTTCTAATAACTGATTTTTTTACTAAAATTTAATCATCTTCCTTTTTCAAACCAAATAATTTTTTTATTTTATTAGCTCTCTTAGGACCTAATTTTCTAGGTAAATTGACATCAGTTACTCCTTCGATTTCTTTTTCTCCTTTCTTTACTACTTATAAAGCTAAAACTCTCATGTCAGGTCCAACAATACATCCTCTGACTGATTTTCTCTTCTTGAAACCACTTCTTCTTTCAGTAAAGCATGAATGACCAGCAGATAATAAAAGTCTTACTCTTCCTTTAGCAAAAACTCCTTATTTCATTGGGAAACCTTATTTGTCATTTCCTCCTGCAATTTTAAATACATATCCTTTGAATTCATCACCTAAAGAATCAGCTTGGACTTCTTAACCTATTCTTTTGTCCATAAAAACATTACTTTATTATTTATTTAGTGTAAGTTTTTTATTTTATATTTAATTTTTTTACCATTTTTTATCGTCATCAATTTCAATGCATTTTTGACCTCCGGTTACGGGATAACTTATGTTGAACTTTTTTTTAAAAAAAGCATATTTATATATTTATAATGTTTTTTTCTTTTACTTTCATTTTTTTTTTTTTTTCTTTTTTTTTTTTTTTGCTTTTTTATATCTTTGATTTTTTCTTTTTATTAATTTGTTAACTTTTTTTAATTTTTGGACCTTGATTTTTTTTATATTTTTTAATTTTACTTTTTTTAAATATGAATTTCTATTTATTAAAGGCAAATTAGTTTTTTTAATAATAAAAAATAAAAATAAAAATAAAATAATTTATATAAATAAATTCCTTTAAATAAATTGAAAAATAAATAAAAAAATATTTAAATGAATAGTCATATTAAAAAAATAAATATTCTATTTAATTTTATTTAATAAAAAATAAAATATGGTAAATTTTGTTAAATATTCATTTTATAAAAAGTAATTATATTAATTAATATATATTCAATAGTATAAAATATAAAATAAATTAATGTAAAATATTATATTTACATCATAATAAATTAAAAAATTACTAAAATAAAATTCATTACTATCTTAAAATACATAAAAAATAAAATAAAAACCAAACCTTCTCATCTTAAAGAAGTTTCCCAAGAAATAGTACTCGTAAAAGCATCTGGCCTAGTTAAATGAATAATATCTGCCATATTTCTAATTTTAAATTTTTGATTAAACTTGGGTAAGCTTAAATACCTATCTAATCCTTTAACATATAAATTTTACATTTTCCCAGTTTATTTCTACACTCTTTTTAAATTTAATTCATCTTTTAATTTTGGTAGTAAACAAGGAATTTCTCCTTTTTTATCTTTTTTTGGAATACAGTTCCATTTTTTTTCCATATCATATATATTTTTATCATATTTATTGTAATACCTTAATCCTGCCTCAAACTAAACAGTTTCTTTGCCTACTGTAGGTCCCAGTCTATGTATTAATAAATGAGAAATAGGATTTATGTTTCCTTAAAATTATATATCTTTTATAGAATTAGGTTTCTACCTACCTTAAATTGTTTTATCATAAATGGAAAAAGGCTAATTTGGTATATTTTGTAGTTTCTCTTTTAATGAATTATCTTAATTTCTTAATTTTAAGACCCATTCAATATCTTATTCGGTAATATATTCTACTTTTAAAAAATGACTATAAGCATTTACATTTCGAGGAATTCCGATTCTTTTTTAATCTTTTTAATTCATATTAGGAGATTCTGTTATCGATTTTTGATAAGGAGATTTAGTACTTTCGGTTTTTACTTAATTACTTTTTTAAGTATTTTATTTTTAGTTATTTTCTTATTAATTTTACTTTTTTTTATTGTTAATCATTTTTTATTTTGCTAAAAAAATAAAATAATAAAATATTTTTATTTTTATTTTTTTTTATCAAGAAATATATTTATTTTTTATTTCAGAATGTATATAAAATAAATAAATAATAAAATGAAATTATGGTAAAAAGTAAATATAAAATAACTATAAATCTTTAATTTTTGGTTTTGTTTATTTCTTATTATGATGCTTTTTATTTAAAATCTGATACTAGTAAATTATTTTTAGCTTTCATTATTAAAATCATTTGCAAATATAACAATTTTTAATTTAAACTATTATTATTATTATTTTTAAATAATTAAATACAATTTCAATTAGAATACATTTTACTTAAATCTCTTTATTATTGTATTTGCAACTTTTGAAATATCAGCATATTAAATCAATTCGTTTATTGATAAAAGATGAATTTCATTAATTAGTTTTATATTTAAACAAAAGATAATGAAAAATCTATATAAATAAATTTAATTATCTGTATCATAAGTTATTAAAATAAATCACTTTATTATTATTCCTCCATATTTAAAAGCATTCTAACTCCCTATTCTTTTTACAAAAAGGATAAAATAAAATAGATAAAGTCATTTTTTTTAAATATTTAGTTTTTAAAAAAAAATAATAATAACGATATCAACAACTCTTACATTATTAAATTTGTTTATGTTTCTATGTTTCAGCATTATTTAATTATCAATAAATTATTTTCTAATTATTTATTGAATAGAATTATATTTTTTATTTTAATTATAAGGATTATCGATTGATAAAAAATATACAACTTAACTATTTGTATATGGGTCAGATAAAATATTGGATTAAATACTTATTATGCACTCGCATTTGTACATCAAATTCCTGTATATATTTAGTTATATATTATATATATTTATTTTAAGCAAATCTAGATTATTTTAGAATTAAATTATATTTTAAAATAATTAATATGCTTTTATTTATATATTTATAGATTTTATATTATTAAAATTATATTTAAAATAATGAATTTTTATATATATCTATGTAATATATAAAATAATTAAATTAATAAAATGTTTCTTTTTACTAATATTTTTTAATTTTAAATTTAATTGAGCTTTGCTTGTATTGAAAGTAAAAAGGATATTTTATGGTTATATATATATTTATATTTATAATATATATAATATTTCATTATTTTTTACCTCACCCATAGTTTTTTGTCCTAAAAGGCCTTAATTACAAAGAATTTACATTAAAATGTTATTATTTTTGTTACTTTTTAATAAATTTTTAAAATATATACTTTATTATTAATGCAATATTATAATATATATCGAATAACATTATTTATAAAATATAGACTAATTATTTATATATTAATGAATTAAATATATATATATTATTATTATTATTTTAATATAATAAATAACTTTAAAATTATAACAAATCTTATTTATTTATATTTTAAATTGATAAAATGTAATTTATCTTGTATCATAATAGTATATTTTTACTTGAATTATTGAATATATTATATTTATAAAAATCTAATTAGCAAAAAAATTACTTTGAAAATTATATTTTATAAATTTAGAATCAATTTTATTTTAATAAGATTATAAATAAAATATATTATAAATTAATTAAATATTTGTTAATCTTCCCTCAAAAAAATAATAAAAAATAAATTAAAATTAATTATTATTCAAAATAATTAATTGTACCAAATTTAATTTAAAAATAATAATATAAATTTTTTTCTTTTATTTATTAAATAAGATTTTATTATGAGTAACCTTATCGAATAATTAATTTCTTATTGATTATGATTATTAGTGCTTTCATTTTAATTAAATAGCGCGATTAATAAAATAATTATCATTTTTCTATTCTTTTATAAGGTTTATGTTATTTAGTTTCTATTTATATTATGAATTTTCATATTTTATTTAAAAATTGTTTAAAATTAAATTTAATTTTTAGTTTAAAGGAATTTCTTTCAAAATAAGGAAAATATGGTTACTATTTTACTATTATAAATATATTTATAATATAATTAAAATTTAATTGTTTCTCTTAATTTTTAATTGCTCATTATTTTTAATTATTTTATTTTTGGGGATTTTTTATCTGATACAAAATTAAAGAATAAATGAATATATCATTTGAATAAATAAGTTTTTGGTAAAATTCTTAGGGAATTAAGACAATAAATAATTAAATTATTCTTTAGAAAAAAATAAAATATTTTAAGTCAATTTTATGTAAATAAAGTAATAATAATAATAATAATTTAAATTCTAAGTTTAAATTAATAGATTTAAAGTTAATATCCTTCAATAAAAAATCATAAATTAGATAATAGTACAATAAGAAATTGAAAGTAGGAAATAATATAAATTTATTTATTAATATATGTTAATTGTTTGAATATATAAATTTCAATTTAAAAAAATAAAAATATTTTTTTTTTAAAAAAAAAAATTATAATTTTAAAAATAATATTACTATTACTTAATTTTAAAATTAAATAAATAAAAAATGGGCAATTGTGGTGGTTGTGAAGATCATTAAGATTTCGAATATAATACAGAAGCGCAATTTCAGAAAAAAATAAAAATTTAGGAAGATTTTAATTTAGAAGACGAATATGAAAGTTGTTAAAAAGAGAACAAAAATAATTCAAATATGAAAAGTAATCATAAAAGTAGGTCAAACAAATCAATGGAGAAAAGCAAAAAAAGTGTATTTAATTAAAATAATATGTCCCCATAAAACAATTAAATAAAAACTAACAAAAAAAACACTTATAACACCCACGAGAGCCTTAACTCAATGCATGAGAACTCTAATTTTCCAGCTTAAAATATAAATTCATTGCCAATAGAAGAACCAGCAGGCGAATAGAAATAAAATAATCACCATATTCCCCACCTTTTAAAAAAAATAAGCGAATTGCCTGATTTTTCAAATTTTTTTACGACTGAAGTATATTAAAAATTAGGAGAATTTGTTTATGACCAATATGAAAACGAAGAAAGTTCTCTTCTGCCATTTTTTGGACCTGTCTCGGTAGAAAATAATGCCTATTATATAGGTTAGTGGAAAAATAAAGAAAGATCAGGGAAAGGAAAATAAGTATGGAGTGATGGCTCATAATATGAAGGGTATTGGAAAAATGATATGGCAAATGGAAGAGGAAGGTTGATTCATGCAGATGGTGATGTTTTTGAAGGATAATGGGCTAATGATAAAGCACATGGTAAAGGAGTTTATATACATAGAGATGGGGCTTCTTATAATGGTGATTGGTGTGAGGATAAATAGCATGGATTTGGCATTGAAAAATGGGTAGATGGGTCTAGTTATGAAGGGTATTATTACATGGGAATGAAGCATGGAGTCGGAACTTTTAGATGGGCTGATGAGTCCTTTTATAGAGGATAATTTGCGAATAATAATATTAATGGAAAAGGTATGTATTAATGGGCTGATGGAAGAGAATATGAAGGATTCTGGAAAAATAATAGAATGCATGGAAATGGAGTATTTAAATGGAAAGATGGAAGACTTTATAAAGGTTAATATATTGATGTTAAAAAGCATGGATATGGAGAATTTTTTTGGCCAGATGGAAGAGTTTATAAGGGATAGTGGGAAAACGGGAAATAACACGGAGGAGGATTTTATAAAGGAACTGATGGAGTTGAAAGGGAAGGTGAGTGGAAAGATGGGAAGAAAATTAGGTGGATAGACGAATGATTATTACTTATATATATTATGAAAAAAAATCAAGTTAATTTGTTATTATTTTACATATATAGTTTAATTTTATAATTAAATTTATATAAAACTATTTATTATTTATATAAATAATTTCATTAAGTGTTATTATAATTTTAAGAAAGTACTAATTAATTTTTTAAAATTTAAAAACATAAAATATTTATAATATAAGATTTAATTTTATATGTTTTATTTTCAAAACTTATTAAAATATAAATAAAATAGTATTTTAAGTAATATGATTTTTGATTTTTTAATTCCATTAATTGATAAATTTTTATGATAAAATTTTCCCTCCCCCCCATATTGATTTTTTATTAAATAATTGCTTAATTTAAACTATTTTTAAAAATATAAAATAAAAATTGTATTAAATTAATTAATTAATTTTGCAAAGATTATAATTGAAGTTATTTATTAAATAATTATAAAAAATATTATTTGTATAGATTTATTATTATCAAATAAGTCATTTTCATTTAATTTTAAAAATAATAATAATAATCATTTTTCTTCTTGTGTTTCTTCTTCTTATTATTATTCCTATTATTTTTATATTTCTGAATTAATTTTATATGATCTGCTGTTTTTATATGCTAATAATTCTTAAGTACTATAATGTAAACCATTATCTAAAGTTGCTTTGGCATTATTTATATCATATCTCCAAATTCCTCTTTTATTACCGTTTCTAATCCTTACAGGTGTATTATTTTACTAAATTCCTTTCCAATATAAAATACCAAATGCTCTACCATGTCCCCAATCCTATAAAATTAATGAAATTTAAAAATTGTAATTCTATTTATTAAGAAAATAAATAAATAAGTATAAATACTTTTAATTTCATATCTTTAACTACATAATAGCATTATTCAGGCCATGTTTTTCTCCAAAATTTAAATCCAACTCCTTTTTATTATATTTTTTTAATTTATTATATTTTTAGTATTAAATCTAACCATATCCTGGATATTAGCTAGAAATTTCAAAAAGATTTTTAAATGGATTTTTTCTATGTTTTACTACTTCATTTAAAGTATATATTTTTACTGTTTTATTTAATAATGAAGCTGCTGCTTATTCAATTTTTGATGCCATTTTATAAAGAGTTTTTAATATATATATTTTATATTTATTTATTTAAAAAAAAAAAAATATTAATATAAAGGGACAAATAATATTTACTTTAAGGATACCACTAAATAAAATTAAAATTATAAAATATATATACTTTGAAATAAAATAAATTTATATTAAAAATTTAATTAATTCAAAAAAAAATATACATTTATATCTAACTGAAAAAATATATCGAAAATGTCTTTTAATCCTCATGAAATATTATATAGATTAAGAAATTAGTAAAATAATACAAAAAGCCAAGCTAATTCATCCGGTTAAAATAACACGAAAATAAGTATTTTAGAATAATAAAAAATACAAATCCCTTAAGGAAAAAAGCTTATTGAATGTAGCAATTATTAAAAAGAAATAAATCAAAATGAATTTTAAGAAAATAATAATAGTTTATCAAACAATATAAATGTAAATGCAAATAATTAGATTGTAGAAAAATTAATTGATAGAATAAACCATATAGAAAAACACGTGCATACGCTTGAATCGGATATTATTTATACAAATAATGATTTAAATAATATAAAACAATAAAAATATAATTAAAATAAACAGTACTTTATATATATATACTTAATTTATATAAATTAAAAATTATTGAAAATTTATAGGAAGTTTAAAATATTTAATAAGATTAAGTATTTAATAAAGATTTATATAAATTTTAAAATGAGTAATCGTTTTAAAATGAAGTAATAATATATTTATTATATTATTGATTTTAAAATATTATTTTAATAAGAATATTGACCTTGTTTATGCAGTGATTCAAAATAAGTAAAAAATTAATAATTTTATTGGCAAAAACAATTAAAACTATAATAATCTTAAAAAGGCTGGGAAATTAAATCTTGAGTAATTATAATAAATATTTACAACCTATCCTAATATTTAAAAGCCAACGATTCGTATAAAAATATCTGATAATGATTTAAATTGATATTTTTATGAATTATATTTATTTATTAACTAAATAAAGGTTTATCAGATAATATATATGTTAATTTTCGTTTAAATATTTATATATACTTATAATTTCAAAAAAAAAAAAAAAAAAAAAAAAATTTTTTTTTTTAACTGATAAATAAAAAAATTGTATCAAAAAAATGAATAAAAATAATTTTAAAAATATAATTGAAAATAACAATTTGTAAATAAAATAGACATAAAAATATCTATTGTAAAATATTTCGGAAAATACAAAACTCAATTAATTATTTATTAATGATGCAGATACACCTAAATAAAAGATAATTAAGCGCTCTTTTTCAAAATCAAAAGATAAAATAATTTAAAAAAATTAATCAAATCAAAATAGTTTTTATATAGCTTCAAATTAGAATGAATATAATTCAAATTTAATAAGCTAATAAACACAAAATAGTTTTAGTTATAAGTTATAGTAAAATAATTATGAAAATAATATATTATCTTAAATTCCCTCTTAATCAGATAATGTAAGTTCAGCTAAAGAAAGAAATAGTGAATAAGTATAGAAAAACTTGAAAAATATGAATAGTTATCAATTTCCAACATAAACTTTAATATACAAGAATCAAAATAATTTATAAGAAAACTCATTTTAAAAGTAAATTGTTGATAAATATAACTAAAAAGTACTTTATTATATAATATAGATATTTTTTAATAAAAATATGCCTAAAAAATAAAAAAGAAAGAAGATCAAGAATCATAAGAAATATTTAATCTAAACAATTCATAAAATTAAATAAAATAAGATAATTATATAGGGAACTATAATACATTTTAAAAAAAAATAGAATGGACAATATAATAAAAAAAATAAAGGCAAGATATTAATTCTACTATTGATAATGGTATTTATAATAATTTATATATAAAAAATAAAAAAAGTTGAAATAAATAGTTTTAATATGAGTAAATGCTTAGGCTTAAATTCATCTGATAAATGCGATTGTAAAAAAGAAATTTTAGAATTAAAATTAATTATGAATGAAATGAAAAAATAATAAATATTATAGGAAAAAATTAATCAAATATAAAAATAAGATAATTAAGTTTTATGGAAAGAAATGAAATAGATTCTAAAACAAATAAATGAAAAATAGGTATTTATTTAATATTATTAGCATATTAATATTTATTTATTTTTTAAATTAAAGGATGATTAAATAGATAAAGAAAATATCATTAAATAAAAGCATGACCCTAAATAAGGTAAAAAAAATTATTTTTTAATTTTAAGATATATTAAATAGATTAAATTATTAAATCTTTAATGAATAAAAACAAATAACTAAAAAATAAAAATAAAGAAATAGAAACTATTTTAAAAGAATTATTATTTTAAAAAGAAATATCTGTTTAAAGAGAAAAATATTTATCTTAAAAATTATTAAGTAATAATTCTCCTAAAACAAACGATGAAAATTAATAGAGTATTAATTAGAATAATATTTCAGAAAGTACTAACAATCTTAGTAATATTCAAAATGGAAATATAAAAATTAATATAAACAAATGTAAATAAATATAAAATTTTATTTTGCTATTTTAATAAAAATATTAGAATCTGAATTTTTAAATAATAAGTAAAACGTTTTTAAATTTAACTATTGAATCTATAATTTTCTGTAAATCAAAATATGTATGTATATTTAAAGAACATTAATATAATATTTTATTACTTTTAAAACAATATAATATATTATATTTATTTAAAGTATAACTTTAATTATATTTTTTTTAAAATTTTTATTTAATCAAATAATTAAATAATATTTTCTTATTTATTTTTATTTATTTTTGTATATATTATTTATTAATATTCCTATCATATGATTATTTTACAAATTTGTATAAATTTTTTATACATAAAAGGTTATTAAAACATTTAAAAATCTATAAGTTTTTACTAATCCATAAATAATATTAAAAACCAAAAAAATTGTAAATAGTTTTTTTTTTTTTTTACTAATTATTATTATTTAATTCATTATTATTATTATTTTCTAAAATTCTTTTGAATTATTTGCCAGTTCGAAATAAAAAAAAAAAGAATATATTATTTTTCTTAATTAAATAAAATAAAATAATTATTTATAAACTAATATTTTATATATTAATAAATAAATATTAATAATTTTAAATTATTATTATCAAATATATATTATTAACATCTATATATATAAAAAATAAAAATAAATAATTTAATGGGAAACAGTTGTAGATGTTTTAGAGAAACAAATAGTATTGAACAAGAATCAATTATAGGAACAAACAAGCAATATTAAATCGAATAACAATATAATAAAATAAATATACTTTAAAATGAATAAAGCCGAATAATAAATATCTAATCATAAATAAGGGGATATCTAGCCCGAAAGAAAGTAAATTAATTAAAAATAAAAAGATATAACGAAAAAGTAAATGAATAATTAGCCACATATAGTTCTACAATATTGAATTTCAACCAAATAAAAATTGAACCGTTTAATTATGGTTTTGACGATCAAAATGATCCAAATTCTCATCTAAAAGAATTTCGTGGATAAACTGAATTAGAAAACAATGCAGTTTACTTTGGAGAATGGATTCAAAATGTCAGAACAGGAAAGGGAATTTTAACTTGGTAAGATGGTTCTAAATACGAAGGTTATTTTAAAAATAACAAAGCAAACGGAAGAGGAAGATTAGTTCATGCAAATGGTGAAATATATGAAGGATAGTGGGAAGTATTTTAATTTTTTTTATAATGTTTGCAAAAATTATAAAAAATTAAAGAATGATAAAGCATAAGGATATGGAGTTTATACACATTTAGATGGAGCAAAATATGAAGGATAATGGATAAATGATTTATAAGATGGATTTGGAATTGAAAAATGGCCTGATAAATCTGTTTATGAAGGAATGTATAAAGAAGGAAAAAAAAATGGTAAAGGAAAGTTTACATGGGTTGATGGATCTGTTTATGAAGGAGACTTCCAAAATAATAATATTGAGGGTGCTGGCAAATATAAATGGTCAGATGGAAAATACTATGAAGGATTATGGGTTGATAATAAAAGACATGGTGAAGGAATTTTCGAATGGCCTGACGGAAGAAAATATGTTGGATAATTTTATAAAGATTAAAAACATGGAAATGGTACTCTATCTTTTAATGATGGTAGAAAGTATGTTGGAGAATGGTAATTTGATAAATAACATGGAAAAGGAGCTTTTTATATGAGTAGTGGCCATATGAAAGAAGGAGTTTGGGAAAACGGTAAAAGAATTGGAGATTTGTATAAAAATAGCAATAAAGAAAATATAATTAATTGAGGATTGTTTTTTTGTTTAATTTAAAATATTACTATTTATATTTAGTTTTATATATATGGTATTATAAATATTATTTTGTAAAAAATAAATTTAAACAAGTTTATGATTAAAATAATAAGTTTATTAATAAAACACGATTTTTTTTTTTTCATAATTATAAACTTTTTATAAATGAAATAAATTATGACTTTTTAAACTATTTTTTTTTGGTTGAAAAATAAAAGCTTTACATGTATTTTTTTTTTTAAAAAAAAAATTGATTAATGTATATAAAAATAATTTTTTTTATTGAATTATAGTTTATTAAAAGTAAACTGAATTTTTTTAAAAAAAAAATTAAATTAAATTAAAAATAGTATTTAAAAATGTTTGAATATATTGGTGATACAACAAATTTTTTTATTGACATAATTCAAAAAATTAATAAAAAGAAAACTTTTTAAAAGTTGAAGAACTATGTTGAATATATATAAAAAATCGAAGATAAATAAATTTAAATCTCCAATTTATTAGCATAATCAGAAAATAATAATAATGAAAATAAAGATATTATTTAAAAATTAACAAACTAATTTGAATTAATAATAAATAATCAAAAAATTATATAAAAATCAAACAATAAAATAGATTAATTGGAATAAAAAAATAAAAATATTATACAATTAAAATATGGAGATATTGTTTATTTTAAATATTATGTAGATTAACGGCTTAAAGGAGTAATTTCAAGTATAAATAATAATTTATAATAGAATATATGTATATAATATATAATAAATAGGTGATAATATAACAAATAATAAACTGTAATGCATTTCTTTAGATATTAATAGTACAATAGAAGAATAAATGCATTATTTAAAAAATTTAAAAAATAATGAAGATTATATATAGTAAGAAAAAGAAAACCTTGATTTTATGAAGAAATCAGTTTTCAAAAAATCTGCTTAACTATAATTTTAAAAGTGTCTTTTTATGATAATAAATGATCGAAAATATTACTATTTGAGCAAATATAATTAAATAGTTTAACAAAATATTAATATTACACAAGAATATTATAGTTAATTAACACTTAATGTTAAAAAAGAAGCGGAAAAACATAAAACAGAATTCGAAAAATTAAAAGGAACAAGCGTTAATTATAGTTTAGGCTTTTAATTTTTGCATATTTATACTGGAAATATATTAACTATTAATCCTAATTAATTAGCGGAAGAAAACGGATGCAGACTAGTTATATTTATTTATTTAAAAAAAATATAATTATAAATATAAAAAAGATATCTTTGTAAGAAAGTTCAAATACATGGTCAAATTTTAGTATAAAATCTGTAAATAATATAAAAAACCCGAATGATACTATAGATAATTCAGATCTAATACAATTTTAAAGTTTAAATAATAAAAATTTACATGTACATGTTAGTGAAAATGATATAGAGTAGTTCTATTAAGGATTAGAAGTAAATTGTTCTGAAGAACCTTCAATTTTTAAAATTTGTTGTTATTAAGATTGCTAAGAAAAAATCGTATACTTTATCAATTAATTTATTTTAAATATATATTATTTTTAATTAGAATTAAGATAGTATGAATTTATAAGGAAACATTTTGTATCCAGGAGATATTGTATAAATTTAAAATGTGTAAAACAAATTAACAAAAATAATCATATATATATATATATATATATTATTTAAAAGTAATATTTAAGGTTTATTATCTGTATAGTTTCAATTTGATATTTAAAAAATATATACTAAACGATATGTATAGTTTTAATTAAAAAATTAAAATTTCTAATAGTAAGAATAAAATTTATTTGATTAAAATACATTATCATAATAATTAATAAAATAATATTCTATTAATATAAAAAGTTAATAAGAATTATTTAAAAATATTATTAAAAATGAGCTTTATTTCTAAAATGAAAAAATTAAAGAAAATTATTTAAATATAAATGATTAATTTTCTTATTGGGAAATATAAAAAGCAAATTTTACAGACCCTTAGCCACTTATTTATTAATAAAGATACAAGTTCAGAAATATTTTAACAGGACTTTTTCTGTGTATAGATAATAATAATAATTTAACATTAGCTTACGTAATAACTTCGTGATTAATATAATTATATTTTTTATATAAGTCACAATTATTTAGAAACTAATGAAGAAATGAATTATAAATAACAGTTTATTATTACCTAATAAAATGAATAATAAGATTAAGATTTAATATTGTTTGGTGATGAATCAAAGAATGAAAAAAAAATCGTTTGTATTGAGAAAGCGAAAGTTAAAAATAGAAAATAAAAAACTTATTTTGAAATCATAAAGATTGATTAATAATTAGGGTATGCTTTTTTTCATTTTAAAAGTATTAATTTATAAATATATTAAAATAGAATATAGACAGAAAAGCTATAAAATATTTTTATTTTTTTACTATAATTTTCTATATTTTTATAATAATGGGGAATTAAGGTTGATAAGAAATAATATATATATTGTTATTAAACTGCGATAATTACTTAAAATTAACTCCAAAATTAGGTTTAGTAACTATAAGATATCCTAAAGTATTTAAGTTAATTTTTGGATAGTTAATAGGATAGTTTGTTTCAAAGATAATCTATATTAACATAAACAGGAATTATAAGCTTATTAATATAGTTACTAAAATAAATAAATTTTATAATTTATGGGAATGATTAAAGCAATACATTATAAGTAGAAATTCCTCAAAACTCTTGCTAAAAGATAGCTTATGATAATTTAAAAACTATAGTTTAATAAATATACAATATATTAATTTTGACAATAAATGAAAATTAAATAACATCTGAATATATAATATAAAATTAATAAGATTATTTAGATTTTTTTATTCAATAAATAAAATATTATAAAAATGTAAAAATTTAATTTTGTATATAAAAATAAATTTAAAGGATGTAAAATAATTACTAAGAATTTCTGTCAAATGGATGGAAAGTAATGAGATTTAAGAAGAAATAAATATAAAAGCTTGGACTTAAAAAATAGAACCTTTAAATGAGTAATAATATTGATTTTAAATTTTTGTACTTGAAATAGTAACACTTTCATTAGAAGACCCTTTTTAAAATGCAATTGCTTCAAATTAAAAATATGGCAGGTATCTTATATTTAAAGAAAAGCATAATAATCTAAGAATTTTTGATAAATGTTTGATTTCTTTTAAATTAAGTAATGGAATACCAATAGTAATATTTAACACTTCAGGATAATCATGTAAATAAAAATATATTTATACTTTTTTCTAAAAACAAAACAAAACAAAAAAAGAAGAAGAAGAAAATATACTCTAATTTGAATAAAATAATAAATATTTAATAAGTTATTATAAATATTATTAAAGACAAATTATACATCCATAAACAAATTAAATATAACATAATTAATTTGAACTTGATTTTCTAATAAATATTTCGATTAAATAAACCAATTAACAACAAACACAAGTTCTTTAAAAATATTAGGATTATATAATTGCTGTATTGAACTTTTATGTTTCTTTATGTAAGTAAAGGAATCATAAATCTATAAATATTCTAATACAATAAATAAATATTACAAGTGATTTTGTACGTAAATGTTTAGAAATATATAAACCAATAAATTAAAAAACAATATAATCCCATCACAGCTTAAGGTTTTATAATGTATTTTTGGAGCTTTATAGAATTTTAATTTTAGATATTGAACCCTTGATCAGAATTTCGTAAAATAATATAAATTGTTTGATTGGAAAAGATATTAAAGAATTCTAAATTAATGATAAAACTTATAATTTGTTTCGCAATTTAAAAATTACTGGAAACGAAAAACATGGAATCAAAACTTTGAATATTTTAACTTAGTAAGAAGTCTCATAAGATTTAGGAAGGAATTTAACAAATTTAGGATGTTCTATCATAAATGCTGCAAGTTTGGTGTTCCAGGAAACAGAAAAGTTTAAACATTCCGAAGAAATTATGCAGTCTTTATTCTATGATGAAAATATTGTTATTCCATAATCTTTTAGTTTAATAGAAAACGATGAATCTTATCATGGGATCTTAAAAAATATACAAAAAGTAGATGCTGAAAAAAAGATAAAAGCAAGATACATATTATAAACATTCATTTAAATGTTAAAAATAGTTTAATATAGAATTGATTTAGGATATAATGATTTACAAATGAATTTATAAATAATAAAATATATTCCAAATATATTTCTAGGATATATACAATTTAAATAATAAAGTAATGAATTATCTTATTTTGCAAATTACAAAAGAAATTGGATTTGTCATTTTATTCAACAAACATTATATTATAATGATAGTCCTTAATTAGTTTTTGATATTTTAACTTAAACTTTCGAAATTATTAGTGTTTTAGATATTCTTTAAAAAAACCTTATTTATGTTGGTCAAATTAAAAAACATATAGGATAAAGCTTTTAGTTTACTATAAAAAAAAATAAACAATAAGAAGAAATCAAAAAAGATATTATTATTACAAAATAAAATAAAAATATAGAATAGTAAAACTAACAATAAGTTTAATCATTATTAATATAATCAAAACAATAACAATAATAATTTTTAAATCCTTAAATTATAAAAAACCAATTACAAATCACATTTAATTCAAATAGTTATTATTCAAATAATGATGTAGATACTGCTAATAAATTATTCGAATTAGTCTAAAATAATAGTAATGAAACAGATATCCTTATAGATTAAATGAATAAAAATAAAATGGATTCTTTAAAATTGAATCCTTTTGAGTTTGATCTTTTCAGATTTACGAATTTATATAAATACGATGCTGTTAAAATAAAAGCAAATAAAAAAACTGATAAAAAGATTGAAAAAATAAATATTGGAACTATTCTATATTGCACAATTGCATTTTCTGTTAAAAATCCAAAGCTGAAATAATAATTAGTAAAATATCT